TGTTGGGCTCTGGCGGGTTCTTTACCTCTCCTGACCCGCGTCCCGTTCCCTGTGGCACGGCGCCAGCCGCCCGGGCCCACGGCGTGTTTGTGAGGAGACGGAAGCAGTCGGCCCCGAGCAGCTCTGCCGTCCTCGCCCGGCACCAGCTCCCGTTCCCCAGCGAGCAGTGGCCTCCCCTCCCCCGGCTGCTCCCCTTTGGTGGGTGTATTCAAACCCTTCGCGTTGTCTCTCCCCTCCCCTGCCGGCTGTACCTCCTGCCTGGCCTCGGCTTGCCTGACGTCGTCCCCACACTCGCGCTGTCCCCGCACGTGCTGCTTGGGGGGGTGTCTGTCCCTGCATTCCCTGCATGGATCAGCCCCTGGGGACAGTTCGAAGGTCCCCAGTCCCTGCCGGCTGCTGGGGACCCCCGCAGGGAATCGCACGCTGCCTGTTTCCTACATTGCTCCAGTAGCTCCAGGCAGCCCTCAGCTCCTGGGCTCCGTTGGAGAGGCGGGGGCTGTGCATGCGGAGATGGGTCAGAAAGCAAGATCGGACCCAGCCCCATTTGCCTTTGGGGCAGGGCCTGGTCTGGCTCCACCCCAGGTCTGGCTCAGAACCTGTACCCTGCTCGGGGGCAGCTGAAATCTTCTGAGAACACGGGAAATCCCAGGAGATTGTAGCCGGTCAGGAAGGCGGGAGCATCGTGAGGTTGGTCTGGCAAGAGCGAGGTGCCATCAAACCTGAGCCATGGCCTCAGCCGAGGCTGGATCCAACCCCCCCGCCCCGATTTTGTAGGTGGGTGGGAGAAGGGTGGGGAACGGGGTGTGTGTGGGGGGGTTGCTTCTCAGTTCTGCAGCTGGGCCTAGCTGTTCATTCAATGTGTTGAACCTCTGAGCCTGGTTCCCAGCTTTAGCCACTAGACCCCACTTCCCTCCCAGAGCTAGGACTGGAACCCAGGAGTCCTGACACCCCGAAAGGCCATGGACTCTGCCCTGCACACACTCACGATCTGGAGTTTGATCGTCTTTCCCTCCAGCTCAATGGTCCGGATTTTGAAGTCCACCCCGATGGTGCTGATGTAGCTGTCTGTGTAGTTGTCATCCTGGGGAACAGAGGAGAGAGGGAGTGATGGAGGCAGGGTGAGCAGGGCAGTGCCCCTCATCTTCTACTGCCATCATGGTACCCACCCCCATGGGCTCTGGAAACTTCACAGCAACCAAAGGCTAAGAATCTGCTTCCCCTTGCTCCAAAAGCCTTTGGAGAATCCCCATCAGCTATTAGCAGTATAGGAGCTAGGATACACAGATGAGCAGTTCCAATTCCATCCTGGCAAGGACAGTGGCTTTATCCAAGTAAGATGCACAAGCCCCCAGCCCCATGTGGTCAGGCCATACAGTATTTTTGTCACAGCATAGATGGGGAAACTGAGGCAGCAACTTGCTAAAGGTCACACAGCCAGGGGCTGACTGAGCTGGGAAGAGAAGCCTGGAGTCCTGACTCCCCCCTCCCCATGGCTCCACCCCACAATGGCTCTAACCCACTGGACTCAGGGGAGAAATTCCTTCAGCAGGGCCCTGGCCCATCTCTGGGCACGGAGAGGGGACCAGCAGCTGGGCTCAGTGCATCCCAGGAGTGGGTGATCTGGCGTCTAGGTGCTACCGTAATCCACCTAATAGCAAGGCAACTGTACAGCACCTGGCACAATGGGGGCTGGTCTGTGAGCAGGGCTACCGTAATCCACCTAGAAAATAATCATCCCAGATACTCACAGCGAAGCGCAGCAGGAGGCAGGATTTCCCAACCCCGGAGTCCCCGATCAGGAGGAGTTTGAACAAGTAGTCGCTGTGGGGGAGAGGGGAGGGGGACTCCCTAATAGCAAGGCAACTGTACAGCACCTGGCACAATGGGGGCTGGTCTGTGAGCAGGGCTACCGTAATCCACCTAGAAAATAATCATCCCAGATACTCACAGCGAAGCGCAGCAGGAGGCAGGATTTCCCAACCCCGGAGTCCCCGATCAGGAGGAGTTTGAACAAGTAGTCGCTGTGGGGGAGAGGGGAGGGGGACTCCCTGA